TCGTGGTACGAGCGGTTTTTTTTTACCCAAGTATGTTTTGCAATATAACGTCCCTCTTATTTATGTGAAATATTTTGAGGAATCAGCAAAATCAAAAATAACAATAAATAAGTGTCTAGGCAGCTGTGACAAAAAACAAGTCTATTGCAATGCCATGGATACAGCTTGTGCATTTAATATACATTAATGTTTTAAGTAAATAGGCGAACAAGTGATTTTGCGGCCCTAGGGATGTAAACCCCTGCTCGGTCCCCATATGACGATGACAGCTGGCATGGCCAGCAAAACGTAGCTTTCAGCCACCAATATAAACCAGCCAAATGTATGTAAAACAGCTAAAAACATCATAGTGAGGTGAAAAATTCGTTACGCATACTTTTACATTACCCTGAATTAATTATATGCATACAGAAAAAACGGAGTCATACTTATTGCGTATTTTAATGTAAACTAGTGGCTTGTAGGGACATAGTCCCTAAAAAGCTACGGAAAAGGAATTATTGTTGGAATATTTAAACAAACTCAGAATCAAATTATCTATATGTCAGGATAGGCCTAGATATCCCACTACAACATATCTTTTGTGCAAAAAAAAACAAAACAGTTTGTTGTTTGTCTTTGTTTGCTTTTGTTGATAACGTTATGTTCAATAAAGAATTTGAATGATTCCTGAGTTTAACTGCTAAAGGCAGCAAACACGTTTATGAATAAATATTGGTTTATTAAGGTAGCTTTGGTTTTTTGGTTAATGCTGATAACAAGGCTTCCCCGATGGAAATACAGTATTGGAAATTGTCTTCGTCAAATAAGAAAAGGCAAAAAATGGTGTGTTGAGATACCCTACCCAGTTATTATTTCTAAGTCTATGCTCATTTTGTAAAGGTTTAACAAAATTATTCTTAAGTAAAGGCATCCCATTGACAGAACTTGGACCTAAATTTGTTTGTGATCAACATTAAAAAACCACTATTAGCCTAGTGTAAGTATGTGGTGTTAATCCTCCTAAAGATACGATTGATTTACATATTCTACCAAAAAAGGGCCTAGTCAACGTCTAATTACCAACTATTTTGCGGCTAGTTAGGGTTCCATTACCCAGTTATCGAAACTAATCACGACATAAATATTTTTGGTTCATTTAAATACCTGTACGAACCTACTTCATCTCTATTCCCAAATTGTTTTCTAAGAGTAACCGTTGAGGTTATTCCACTTCATACAAAATATTGATTAAACACTACAATAAATCTCAAATATAAATGTTAGTAAATTTAAAAAAAATTGGAATAAATCTTTTACATATGTTTTGAAATAAAAACAAAGAAGATCTTCTTTTAATCTTGAATCGTTTCTTAAATCTTGAAAACAATTTATTTCAACTTTGACATAACTAAAAAGTCTTGATTATTAAAGGTAACGTTATCCCTTTATATAGTTGGTTTTAGTATACATTACATTGCAGAATTGACTGGCAAATGAGTAATCCAAATGTAAGCTTACTTGCTAATGATAAAATCACGATCAGCTGGATTGAAGTAAACAAAAATCAGCAGTAAATGCCTTCTAATGCTATTCTTATGGAGAACATTGTACGTTATATCTAATTTTGTGTTAAGATTTTGGGAATTTCACTATTTTTCCCGCCGTCATGGGATAAAGACCTTTAATTTGAGCCCTCCCACGTCGTTCTACGACTTCCCAGTCGCCCACAATTTTGACGCAAAGAATCGGCTTACGTAATTAATATATAGATTCCCATGAAACTGATAATTTACCCAGCACATTAAGGCCTTTATTCCAAGTATCTCAGTTCGTAAACCATACATACAATGTGACGATAAAATATCAACAAAATAGCATGTAGTTTTATGTAATCCTCACGACATTTCATTTGGTTCATTGACTTTAAATCCAATAATTGTAAAAATTATTGGAGCTTTGAAAAAAACTTCATATAAAATCCTTACACTAATAAAAGACGACGTCATGAGCGCGGGAAATGAGCTACAGCGGCTAGGGCATAGCCACATGAATACAGAACGGAATGAAGGAACTAGAACGGAGAACTGGCAACAGCGCACGCGAGAAGTAGGGGGGGCGCACACACCGCTCAAGCACTACAACGCATTAGTGGCATCCTGTCCACACACTGTTGATATATACCGATTTGTGGCATGGTGCCACAATTTAAAAACTGGAATGTTAGATGTTAAAATGGAGTGTTCATTAAAAATATCGATGCAGACATGTTTCTACCACCTTCCTTCATCCACTGGTGGCCGCAGGTTGAAAGATGCCACAATTAGGTGTTTGCGAGTATTCGGTAAAACCCCGTATGTGTGTGTGTGTCTGTGTGTGTGTCTGTGTGTCTGGATGTGTACAGAGCTAGAGACTACACCTGTGGTCCGATTTAAATGAAATTTGGTATGTAGGTTCTTTTCCATGGTATCTCCAGGCGTTTTTTTCATTTTTTTGAAATTTTGATTTTTAATGGGGATTTTCCCATAAAAACCCATAAAAAACCGAAAAAATCTGATTTTCTCAAAAACGGCCCGAACGATTTTAATAAAAATTTAGTATGTTGTAGCCCTTTAAATTCTGAACAAAATGGTACAAATCCCATTTCTGTAAAAATTACGGTTCAAAAGTTATGGTAAATTATGTTATTTTCCCATAAAACCCCATAAAATAACGAAAAAAGGATTGTAGACAAAAATCCGGTTTTGATTTAACATAGTATGTTATGGTCCTTACAATTTTGATAGTTTTTTTTTTTCATTTTTAGCGAATTTCCCATATAGGGAATATTAGCGAATTTCCCATATAGGGAATAAGCTATTACCGTAGTACTCATGGTAAGACCTGGACGCGGGACCGATTTTTTTTTTCATTTTGAGGTCCCTAGAGGCCAAAAACACCATCCGTTCAAATTCATATATATATATTTATATATTTATATATATATATATATATATATATATATATATATATATATATATATATATATATGTGTCCGTCAGCACGATAACTCGAGCAAAAATGATCCGATTTTGATGAAATTTGGTACAAACGTGTAAACCTACGTTTATTCGAACGAGTTCGCGATCCAGCATGATCGGACCATGGGAACGGGTGTTTACGGGGGGTTTTATGGGGTAAAAATAGGTTTTTCCCATTTTTGACCCAAAAAACATAAAATTTTATCAATTTATTTTCAAACCATTTTGTAGAGCTTAAAAAAACAAATAATTTAGTATATTGAAGCGTTATTATGCGCCTAATGGTTACGGAGAAAATTCCAAAAAATTGTAAATTTAAAATTCCCATGTTATTCTTATGGAGAATAAGTAAACTGTTGTAGTTTGCTTGTTTATGAACATATTTTGATCAAATTTGGAAAATTTTTTTATTTCTTACTAACTATTAACATTTTACAAAAAAAAACAGTTTTACCCTCCCTGATGCAGCAAACCTAAGTACTTGTTAAACTAATTCTATTTAAATCGGGAATAAATGTTATATTTTTAAGTAGACATTTCAGTGTAAATCCAATCAGTCAAATAGAAATTCGCTTAGTCTGCAGGTTTGCTGCGGCGGGGGTATTTAGAAATTTTTATTTTTAATGGGGATTTTCCCATAAAACCACATAAAATAATGGAAAAATTGAATCTTCCCAAAAATGGCCCGAACAATTTTGATAAAAATTGAGTATGTTATAGTCTTTTATATTCTGAACAAAATGGTACAAATCCCATCTCTGTAAAAATTACGGTTCAAAAGTTATTGTAAATTATGTTACTTTCCCATAAAAACCCCAATAAATTACGGAAAATCAGATTTTCCCAAAATTGGCTCGAACGATTTTGATGAAATGTAGTATGTTATATCCTTTAAATTCTGAAGAAATTTGTACATATCCCATTTCCGTATATTTACTCTCACCGCTTACACATGATAAAGGTTGTTGACAAACTTATGGGAGAAAGTATGTGTCAGAATGCTGATACCGTTTATTTTTTCTTGTGTCTGTGCTTGTTACTCTTTTATTTCAAAACAGAACTTACTTTCTGAACTTGCTTCGTCCATGCAACCACAGATCCTAAAATTCTGGCCACGATGGTACTGATTTGGCTCTGTTTAAATCTGATGTAGCAATCTGTCATGTAGCTATATGTTTAGAGCTTCAAGCTTAGTATAAATCATTAAGTCAATGACTTTCCCTTGGTGGCCTTTTCCCATTGATCTCCCAGGTTTCTTTTGAAACTGGGCAGTGGACAGTAGCTTACCCTGTTGGTGCTTTGTGAAAAGGGGGTATTCATTTAGTGTTATTTTAAGACAAATTAAAGCCCCTTTCCCATGAGGCATAGGTGGCAAGGGGTGAACCACATACTCGTGAAATACGCTCCGTAGTAGTTCCACGAATCGCCACGCTTCAGATTAAACAGGTTTAGTATTCAGTTGTGAACAGCTTACATTTTGTATTTCGGGCTGGCTTTGGGCAATTATTTTGTGTTGGTGTTGATATGTGGGAATCATTGGGAACAGGTGTAGTGAAATTTCAAGACAGCGAAACTTTGAAATTTGAACAATGACAAATAAGCTGTTTCTTCTTTTTTCTAATCGGTTCATGTGATCTCAATTTTTCTACTAAAATGCAACTAAAAACAGAACTTACAACCACACAACTCTCAACAATACACTCTGACATTGTTGAATTTCAGAGGTAAACTAAATCCAAAAGACTATGAAGCATATGGCTCGTGTGAACAGTCCACGCCCTTATGACAGGTGGTAGTCCCATCCCCAGTACAGGTACCAACACACCCAAGTTGACAAGTGTGCCAAGTATTCCTATTTCACTTCCCGTGGGAACGCGGCTTAACACAAGTAGTTTTACTGAACCTTTTTTCACAACTGGAACCATCTATTGCCTATGGGTGCAACTGTATATTTCTGAGGATATTTTAGCAGTAGGTATATTTCTAATGGTTTTCTAACAGGTGGGAGACAGTACTGGTAGAGTGAGGATCTACAGAACTCTAACAGACAGACCTCTACTAGACTTGACATCATCAGAAGTCTCTTCTGGTCCAGCCATCTCAGCTCTACAGTGGTCTCCCACCCAACCTGGCTTGTTCTTTGTGTTGGATTCTAATTCCTGGTAATACCAATAAAATTTCACTACATAACACGGAGTGGTGTGAATACATGATACTTTTATCACAATGTTTTTTTTAAAAAATTTTTGTAATAAGTATAATAATTTGGAGATCAGTGAAAAGCTTGGGTTATTTTAACAAAATTACAAACCTTAAAAAAGTCAATACAAAAAATTTGTTTCAATCCGTAAACATATTGTTGGTACAGTAAAATCTCGCTCATCCGGACTTCCGGTCCTGATTATGAAAAATCCGGACTATCGAGAGTCGAGCAAATACACAGCACTATATATAGCCGTTTTTTCAATTTTGTTCCAGGTCCACAGTAATGATAGCCGGGCATATGAACTTCCACCGGTAATAATTTTTTCGGGCGAATTTTGTTCCAGGTCTACAGTAATGATAGCCTGGGCATATGCACTTCCACCGGTAGTAGTTTTTACCGCTGTGTTATTCGATTTTTTTCATTATTCAAGGCAGTCTCGGCCCCGTTTCACTCGGATAATCAGACTTCTACTGTACTGTGTCGCTAAAAAATCACGATTGCCGATCCGGACTGCCTGGAGTCCGGACAAGGCCGATTCGGATGAGCGAGATTCTACTGTATCTAGAGAGGTATTATTTCTGTAAAAGTTTTAGAAGGGTTTGGTGGAAATACTGTATTGTTTATTGAGTCTAAAAAAGATACTTAACCTACAGCCCATTACTTCTTCCCTCACTCCCCACAATGGGTTCTCAAGAATGGATTTACTTTACAAACTAGATATTGTTTATTGAGTCTAAAAAAGATACTTAACCTACAGCCCATTACTTCTTCCCTCACTCCCCACAATGGGTTCTCAAGAATGGATTTACTTTACAAACTAGATACCATACTTATTTGTACTTCTTAGTTTTGAGATTAATATAAATATGTTCACCCAATCCTATGCACATCCGTATGAACTCCTTCCCAGTTTGTGCTATGAAACAAAGACATGTTTAATTATATTCTACAACTTATTCAACGACATGAAGTCATATACCCTCCTCGTTAGGTACCAACGCACAATACCTCAAGGTGTTTTTTTTTTAGTTTAGTTATATTTCTGTCAGTTTATTCACCTATAAATTAACAAACAAACAACATTTTTTTTCTTCTGGAGTGTAGGGGTACTGTTAACAGTAATATGCTTTGTTTCAGTATTCATATATGGAACCTGTGCTCCAGTGATATCTGCCCTGAGATGTCTGTTCCATTCACCCGAGAAAACATTACTTGTATTAGTCTGTCACCCCACAGGGGCAGCAAACTGTTGGTAAGACCACACTTTTGACTGATCAACAATATTTGAGTAACTGAGTGGTTAAAGTGATTACCTATAACAATCAAAAATGTTGCTGGTTGGATCCTAAGAAAAGTCAGTAGCTTTTTGATGGTTCGTAACTAGACCCATAGCTGTCCCTGATCTTATATGGTTTTATATATGGCTTTAATAGCTTACGCAACGATTGCGTAAAGATAGTGTTAATGACACTAGTAGAAAATTTAAGGTACGGTACCAGCCTTGGCGAGTGCCTTAAAATATTATACGAGTGTTGTTAACACTATTTACGCAAGTTGTGTACCTACACTACTTTACCTTCGACGGTTTTTAGTAATTTTCCCTATAGGGAAATACCTAGTACTAGCTAGTAGTAGAGTGCGGAAATGGGCTATAGAGTGTAAAAATGGTGGTGAAATCCTTTTTTTTGTGGTATTCTTTGAAGAGTTTGGGTACTCTACAAAAACACAATACCTTCCAAAATTAGCAGTTTTACAGCCGATTTAAAACTACCTAGCCTATTTCTCCTCTTTCCACACTATCTTTGCATCAGGGTCATAATCTCCAGTCATCTGGGAGATTTGATTGTTTTGAAAACACACAGTGTACACAGTACATGACAGCTACAGAGATGAGATGTGTGTCATTCTGTTTACAAATGATGCCAGTAAATGGTGATGAGCCCCGTTGCGGCATGCAATTACGGATTTGTACACAAAACAGACCCTTAAAAAACTGCCCTTTTAAATGCCAACAGTAAAATCAGCTGATTTAGCTAGCGAGTATGAATAATGTGGTGTTTTGCAACTGTTTACAGGTGTGGCAATATAATTATATAATAAAACACACTTATTTCTGTTACAGTTACTGATTCCAATGCATTGGTTTTTTACAGGCTGTGGCTTCCGATGTAGGAACGGTGGATATATTCAACCTGAAAGATGAGTTTGTAGCTCTACCTGAGAAAGAAAGTAGTGAACAACACAGCATTTTTAGTCGGTACATTACTATTCTTTAGCTGTGTACTGAGCGGTAAATAGGGATGTAACTAATTAAATTACTGTAATTTATTTGTTATTTTTTAGCCATTAAGTTTATAACAATATAGTGTTTTAGAACTAGAATTTTTTGTTACCACTAGTTTTTATCCATTGTTAAAAATATAAAAAGCAAAGAAATATAAATCTACCAACGCTATATGTTCCCTCTACAAATTTATCACTGAATTGTTTTGTTGGCTACATTTGTTTTTTCTGTATAATTCAAGATGCTGTAACATGTAAATTTACAGTTTTAAATATAACTAAGGTTCTTTAATTTTATATGAATATTTATTTAGAATGCAAAATTTTTTAACTATTTTTATTGTTCAAGATTTGATACAGTATAAGATAACCTTTTTACATAAGCTTTGATCAAATAGCTATGAATTATTCATGTAATAATATTGCACTGAAATTCTAATATTTCAATTTCAGTACATCGTAGGAATAAAGTTTTTAGATATCACTTTATCTTACTTGAACTTTTGACCTTTTTGGAGTACCTACTTAGACTTATACTTAGACTAGTTAGACTATATTCAATAAGTTCTTTCACATATTATAATTAATATGGTGATTACTTGAACTTTTGACCTTTTTGGAGTACCTACTTAGACTTATACTTAGACTAGTTAGACTATATTCAATAAGTTCTTTCACATATTATAATTAATATGGTGATTAACATAAAAATCAGTTGAGGCCTTACAAAGACAATTTCAATGCATTTATGAATATATGCCTAAAACATATGTTACCATGCAATACTTATAATTTAATGGAAATACACTTTTGGAAATTATTGTTTATTGCATCTATACCATTCCAACCTATTTGAGACATTGATATAATGATTAGTGTATGTGTGTTGGTTTAAACTTTTGATGATGAGGAAAGATTTAAAATGATTATAGATATAGTAGAGGAAAATACTATTGACCTGAACAAGAACATCATTTACAAACCTGCTTACTCTATTACTGAAGTGGTCTCTTAAATAAAAAGTTGGTACTTGGCCTCGTCTACACAGCCTTTCCATTACGTTTTGTCCTAAGCTTCTTTCTCGTTATAAGCCCCAACTCTCCATATCCTTCTGGACCTGGTCCGCCATCTTGCTTTGGGACTTGTCACCTTACCTTCAAGAACATAACTCAATACGTGTTTTACTTTCAAGCACTCTTCTTCCCATGATGTTTGTTAAGTTTCCTCAGAGTTCACATCAAACTTTGTCTAGTATTTTAACTCCCCTGGGTGGATTTATCCGGAAGCTGTCCATAAGTTAAGGTCTCCATCAAGTCATCGTGTTGAAGTCAAACAAGATAGCTCGAATCTGAGGGTACGTTCACAAAGAAAGCTTGTTCCAAGCTCTTGTTGGCAAGCGCTTGCAAGCTCGAACCAGCATGAGAAAAGTCAACATAGTTTCAAGCATGTGCGTTCACAGACAAAGCTTGTGCCGGCTAGCAAGCGCTTGTTACAAGTACTGACAAGCACGCAAGAATGTTTCGTACTTGTTTTCCGGCGCTTGTTGACCGAACCAGTCAGTTACAAACTACTAACAGTGCAGTATGAATGTCAATGAGTTGATAGCTCAAGTTTAGAAGGTGTTTAAAACTCCCTTCAAGTATATTTAAATTTGTTATTGGTCCAAAATTCGTTCTGCTGCATGGATAGGTTTTATGCCAATTCCCCAAAACTTCACTAAAACACTTTCAATTTTCTTGAGGATGTAATTAAACGTGGTTAACTCCATTCTCATATAATAAAAAACCTCACTTTGTCCAATTTCAATTGAGGAAATAAATGGTGGTAGCCTATGCCCCGAACCTACCTCTTCCACGGTTAATTGCATGAACACCTACTTTCCTTCTACACATTTTTTATTCTACATTTTCAATCAAAAATAACTCTTCATCACTTGGGACGGGTTGAATCCCCGGCACATCCACTAAACATTTAATCTCTCGTAACTTCTCTTGTGAAATGCCACTGGTGTAGAAAAAAAAGAGTGCTGAAGTAAGTTACTTGTAACCAGCTTTCTTTCTGAACGCACCCTGACACCAATATAAGTGTTCTTTACTTTATTCACTTTGATTATTGATTCTAGTGGGTTCCTACCCCTTTTTGATGTTTAGTAAGTCTACGAGGAAAATGTATGCTCCCACAAATCGCCTTCTGCTAAATATTAGGTTTTCTGTAAGGACTATTATTGACCCCTATTGAATTATATTTTAAGTTGACTGTTGCATAAGAATAAAAGTGTTTAAATCCATAGGTCATGAGGCAGGCGAAGGACTCTGAGGGATTAATGTCCCTTCCACAAACGTCGCCAGCAGGGTCCTATACCCCATTGCCCATTGCGCATGACCCATTGTGTGTACTGTATGTGGGTGTGTGTGTGTGTGAGGGCTGTATCTGCCTCTCAGACTGTAGAAAATATGCATGTTGTAAGAAAGGCTTAGTAAACCAAAAGTATGGCTTTTATTCATTCAAAATTACAACCATGTTTTAGTTAAGAACAAATACAATATTTACAAACAAATCAAATAATAAATATTATCAGGTTCACATCACCACAATGCATGAGGAGCTTTTAGCTCGCAGAAGAGCTTTTAGGTCAGCACGAAGAGGTCAGCAGCAAAAATCGCCAGTTTTCATCAGACAGTGATTCAAGTTGAGGAAACTTTGCTTGCTAATCTGCTTCTAAGACAACTAGACTATCTTTTGAATCAAAAGTGTAAAACTAACTGAAGGTTTTATTATTGATCATTCAATAGGACCTGACGAGAATAAGGCCTATGTTAACAAAAGTCTGTAACTTTAACAGTATCCAAATAGCCAATTTGAAATGAGTTGTTCTTTTACAAATGATATACTTTATTTAGAGTTTTTGATAAAAATTGTCACAATGAACTATTAACCTTTTGTAATTTGTCGACTAGATAAAAAATACTGATGGTAATTAAAAACTAGCTAAGATTTGCTTAAAGGTATAGGTAGTCATGTTAACATAAATGTGTGAAGAGAATTAATTACCAACAAACTAGAGGTGTAAACCTACTTTTGCATCACTATCCTAAGACAAGAACATAGCTGATAAACTAAATCTTCCCATAAGCTTTATGCAAAAACATTCTAGCATATCTCTATACACAATCTCTTTCAACAAATCAGCATACTGCCCTATAACAATTTTTAGAAGAAATCAATTTTCATATCCAATACATAAATATTCGTCAAAGAAATGATTTTAAAATGTCAACCTTTTATGAAAAAATTGTGTATTCATAAAGCGTTTCAAGAGTAAATTTGGGATGTTATTTCTGAAAAGGTACGTGGCTGTTGATAATACATTAAATAGGTACAATATTTATATTTTTTATTTCAATACAAAAGAGTGAATGTTATCAGCCTCTGCGAACAAGCAAGAGAGACTCATTTTCTTCAGAATCTGAGGCAGAGCTGGCAGCAGACTGGGAAGATGCTGACTTCTTCTCAAACTCTCCAGTGGCGCAGTTAGCCTTCAACTGTTCTTCACTTGATGATGATGATGAGGAGGAGGACTCAGATGTCTTCTTGGATTTTTCTGACTTGTAGATTACCTAAAATGTAGAGAGTAATTTGAATTATTATAAGACAATAACTAGCGGACTTATTATTACATAATTTTCCAGTGTTGACAAGTGAATTAGTAGTTGCAGTGTTATCTTATACCTACTGTATATGAACTCGCATAAATGTACATTAGTTGAGGATACACTAAACTTTTATGTAGATGTATTAATAGTCAACCAAGTGGTGACTGAGCCTTCTGAGTTGAAATATAAATTTTATTTTTAAATATGGAACTCACACATAGGATGTTCAATATTATTACTAATTTACATACATTCCACACAGGGTCTTGCTCCAAAAAAGTAAAGTAATATTTATAAATGGAGATATGCAAATTATAAAAAAGTTAAACATGTCTGTTAGGTGTTTAAGTACATAAATTCTCTATGGAAAAATTTTTATTTTAGTGAATTACAGAAGTAAGTAAAAGTAATAGGAAAACTCTGAATCAAGATAATTATTATGGAAAGATTTACTTATTTTTGTATTAAATTATTTAAAAAATTCTTTGTACAACGTACAACCAAGAAGGAAATTGTCATTCAGTTAAAAGAAAAGCTCTAGCATTTTATTTAAGCAAACCCGAAACATTTAACAATTTCAGACAGCGACACTAACCATTTGGACGAACCCTAAAAAGTCTCTATATTGCCCACATCGGGGACCCTTTGATGCAACCCCCCCCCTCCTCCGCGAATAATATAGTCTTATCTAAGTAATTTCTAATTATTTTCAAAAAAGTAAAATATATAACATTACATAATGATTCCAAAGGAGAAAATTGTAGTAAATTTGGAAGAAAGTACTTCCTTTAACGAATATGATTGAGTTATTTTACACTTCTTACATTTGTTAAATAGGTAACAAATATAAGATTAAAATAATTTTTTTGAATGTCTTTTACTTACTGGAGAAGCAAAGAATTCTTTTTCGATCTTGCACAGGTATTCAGACTGGAAGCATTTGGAATCTCTGATTAACTTGAAAACTTCAGCCTTCCAGCAACCACAGTTCTCGGTGACCTTCTTGATTAGATGGATTCTTCTGATAGCTTGTTCAAAACTCTCTCCTTCAAAAGGTTTAAGAACCCTGATCAACCAAGCATCACTGGACTCCTTCTCTAATTTTTTGTAGAATAAGGAATAAAAGTTCTGAAGATATTGGAAGTATTTCTCCTCATACCAGATAGAGCTTGAGCAAGTTGCCTTTTGGATAAGGAAGATCCTCTTAGCCCAGATCTCATCAGACTTGTCAAAGAATGAGTCTCTAGCAAAGATTCGTTTTACATACTCCTCATCGGTTTCCTTGGCCCACTTCTTGAAGCAAGTAGCGTACACAGATTTAGTGTATTTCTCAAAGTACTTTTGTTCAGTCCACAAAGATAGAGTGGGGTAGCAGTCACGAACAAGGATGATCCTCTTGGCGTACTGCTCTTCAGTTTCCCAAGCTTCCTTCTTGATGATTCTTGAGTAGTATGCTTCTTCAGTTTCAGTGGCAATCTTGGTGTACAGGGTTTTGTAGTATTCTGAGACAAGGTCAAAGTATTTGATGTCATACCAAAGAGGGAGATTGCAAAAGTCTTTACGGACAATGTTTAAGGTTTTGATGTAGGCCTCAGTGGTAGATGTGTAATCGGTCTTGGAAACGATCCTCTTAAAGTATGAATCCAAGCTTTCGTCCTTCTTCTGAACGTAGATGGTCTTAATATCACTCTCGGTCAATTCAAAGAATGCTTTCTGGATCTGAGACAGGTATTCAGCCTGGAAGCATTTGGAGGCCTGTACCTTCTTGAAGAAGTCAAACTTCCAGTATCCGAAACTTTCGGTGCTCTTCTTGATCAGGCTGATCCTCTTGATGGTCTGTTCAACAGTTTCTCCTTGCAGGGGCTTGAGCACTCTAGTTAGCCATGCCTCGTTGGTTTCTTTTTCTACCTGCTTGTAGTAGACTGAGTAGAACTTCTTGATGTAGTCGAAGTACTTTTCTTGGTACCAGATAGAGCTTGTGCAAGTTGCCTCTTGGATAAGGAAGATCCTCTTGGCCCAGATCTCATCGGACTTGTCAAAGAACGAGTCTCTGGCAAAGATTCGTTTTACATACTCCTCATCGGTTTCCTTGGCCCACTTCTTGAAACAAGTAGCGTACACAGATTTGGTGTATTTCTCAAAGTACTTTTGTTCAGTCCACAAAGATAGAGTGGGGTAGCAGTCACGAACAAGGATGATCCTCTTGGCGTACTGCTCTTCAGTTTCCCAAGCTTCCTTCTTGATGATTCTTGAGTAGTATGCTTCTTCAGTTTCAGTGGCAATCTTGGTGTACAGGGTTTTGTAGTATTCTGAGACAAGGTCAAAGTATTTGATGTCATACCAAAGAGGGAGATTGCAAAAGTCTTTACGGACAATGTTTAAGGTTTTGATGTAGGCCTCAGTGGTAGATGTGTAATCGGTCTTGGAAACGATCCTCTTAAAATATGAATCCAAGCTTTCGTCCTTCTTCTGAACGTAGATGGTCTTAATATCACTCTCGGTCAATTCAAAGAATGCTTTCTGGATCTGAGACAGGTATTCAGCCTGGAAGCATTTGGAGGCCTGTACCTTCTTGAAGAAGTCAAACTTCCAGTATCCGAAACTTTCGGTGCTCTTCTTGATCAGGCTGATCCTCTTGATGGTCTGTTCAACAGTTTCTCCTTGCAGGGGCTTGAGCACTCTAGTTAGCCATGCCTCGTTGGTTTCTTTTTCTACCTGCTTGTAGTAGACTGAGTAGAACTTCTTGATGTAGTCGAAGTACTTTTCTTGGTACCAGATAGAGCTTGTGCAAGTTGCCTCTTGGATAAGGAAGATCCTCTTGGCCCAGATCTCATCGGACTTGTCAAAGAACGAGTCTCTGGCAAAGATACGTTTTACATACTCCTCATCGGTTTCCTTGGCCCACTTCTTGAAACAAGTAGCGTACACAGATTTGGTGTATTTCTCAAAGTACTTTTGTTCAGTCCACAAAGATAGAGTGGGGTAGCAGTCACGAACAAGGATGATCCTCTTGGCGTACTGCTCTTCAGTTTCCCAAGCTTCCTTCTTGATGATTCTTGAGTAGTATGCTTCTTCAGTTTCAGTGGCAATCTTGGTGTACAGGGTTTTGTAGTATTCTGAGACAAGGTCAAAGTATTTGATGTCATACCAAAGAGGGAGATTGCAAAAGTCTTTACGGACAATGTTTAAGGTTTTGATGTAGGCCTCAGTGGTAGATGTGTAATCGGTCTTGGAAACGATCCTCTTAAAGTATGAATCCAAGCTTTCGTCCTTCTTCTGAACGTAGATGGTCTTAATATCACTCTCGGTCAATTCAAAGAATGCTTTCTGGATCTGAGACAGGTATTCAGCCTGGAAGCATTTGGAGGCCTGTACCTTCTTGAAGAAGTCAAACTTCCAGTATCCGAAACTTTCTGTGCTCTTCTTGATCAGGCTGATCCTCTTGATGGTCTGTTCAACAGTTTCTCCTTGCAGGGGCTTGAGCACTCTAGTTAGCCATGCCTCGTTGGTTTCTTTTTCTACTTGCTTGTAGTAGACTGAGTAGAACTTCTTGATGTAGTCGAAGTACTTTTCTTGGTACCAGATAGAGCTTGTGCAAGTTGCCTCTTGGATAAGGAAGATCCTCTTGGCCCAGATCTCATCGGACTTGTCAAAGAACGAGTCTCTGGCAAAGATACGTTTTACATACTCCTCATCGGTTTCCTTGGCCCACTTCTTGAAACAAGTAGCGTACACAGATTTGGTGTATTTCTCAAAGTACTTTTGTTCAGTCCACAAAGATAGAGTGGGGTAGCAGTCACGAACAAGGATGATCCTCTTGGCGTACTGCTCTTCAGTTTCCCAAGCTTCCTTCTTGATGATTCTTGAGTAGTATGCTTCTTCAGTTTCAGTGGCAATCTTGGTGTACAGGGTTTTGTAGTATTCTGAGACAAGGTCAAAGTATTTGATGTCATACCAAAGAGGGAGATTGCAAAAGTCTTTACGGACAATGTTCAGGGTTTTGATGTAGGCCTCAGTGGTAGATGTGTAATCGGTCTTGGAAACGATCCTCTTAAAGTATGAATCCAAGCTTTCGTCCTTCTTCTGAACGTAGATGGTCTTAATATCACTCTCGGTCAATTCAAAGAATGCTTTCTGGATCTGAGACAGGTATTCAGCCTGGAAGCATTTGGAGGCCTGTACCTTCTTGAAGAAGTCAAACTTCCAGTATCCGAAACTTTCGGTGCTCTTCTTGATCAGGCTGATCCTCTTGATGGTCTGTTCAACAGTTTCTCCTTGCAGGGGCTTGAGCACTCTAGTTAGCCATGCCTCGTTGGTTTCTTTTTCTACTTGCTTGTAGTAGACTGAGTAGAACTTCTTGATGTAGTCGAAGTACTTTTCTTGGTACCAGATAGAGCTTGTGCAAGTTGCCTCTTGGATAAGGAAGATCCTCTTGGCCCAGATCTCATCGGACTTGTCAAAGAACGAGTCTCTGGCAAAGATACGTTTTACATACTCCTCATCGGTTTCCTTGGCCCACTTCTTGAAACAAGTAGCGTACACAGATTTGGTGTATTTCTCAAAGTACTTTTGTTCAGTCCACAAAGATAGAGTGGGGTAGCAGTCACGAACAAGGATGATCCTCTTGGCGTACTGCTCTTCAGTTTCCCAAGCTTCCTTCTTGATGATTCTTGAGTAGTATGCTTCTTCAGTTTCAGTGGCAATCTTGGTGTATAGGGCTTTGTAGTATTCTGAGACAAGGTCGAAGTGCTTAATATCATACCATAGAGGTAGAGTGCAAAAGTCTTTACGGACAATATTCAGAATCTTTATGTATGAGTCAACAGTAGAAGTGTACTCATTCTTTGCTACGATCCTCTTGAAATAAGCTTCCAAACTTTCTTCTTTCTTCTGACAGTATAGAGCTTTTATTTCTGCTTCAGTCAGTTCTTTCTTGACAGATTTCTGAAAATTAAAGGTTAATTACTTAATACTTTTAACTGAAATGGTGACCACACGAAGGTATTATTTTAAGCTGATGAGTGTAGGTTGAATGGCGCAATCTTGTAATCTTGTTACTGACTAAGGCCAACCTTAAACATGACTACTAATTAATAGCCCATACTTAACAATAATATATAGATCAATACACAATGTTTGTAGGGTAATAAATTATTTAAAAAAATATATATTTCATTACTGTGGCTTTAAGAGAGTCTTTCCGACCAAGGCTCATGTTTAACAATCCCGATGGTTGAAAAAAGACACTTTTAGACCGTGTTATAACTAAATATGATCTCATATTGCAACATTAATTAACAAACTAAGTTAGAAATAAAAAAATGTAAAGCTAACCCTCTCGAAACGACATCTAACTTGTTTTCAATTTTCCTAAAGCAAATTAGCTGCTGTTTATTACGTGATGCAATCATTTCGTCTATTGCGATTGGTTAGTGTACACTATACTATCGATATTTCAAATTACTGTATTGACAATAATTCAAAAATAAGCTACAATCCACTGTATATAGGCATATCAATCAATACATAATTTTTACTATGCGATTCCTTAATCCTTACAATAAAAGTTCACAACTGCGTTCACAACAACTCATTTATACTCCATAGGGACTAAAAAGGCTTTTTACTCCCAAGAGACCCTTTCACTCCGTAAGGCATGTATTAACAACTGTTTTTTTGTTGCAATATGACAATAAATATATTTAACGATTTCTTTTTAAGATTTTAAACTCATAAGACAAGGTATTACCTCGATCTTGATTTAAACATTTCTCCTCGCAACACATAAAAATCACACTTTATATCACAGTGTGCAGAAAATATGATAGTTGAAGTTTTGAGTTTTGAAGTGTTCTTAAATCATTATGAATTTCCTTACGGTTTTGGATATATTCCCAATATTGGTTTCAATAGTGATAGTCCTCTAAGATAGTTAGAGTTATAATTTGATATATTTTATATTTTTACTTTGCAATATTTGAAAAGTATAAGGTAGTAACTGTTTTAAAGTAAACTATAATAATATTAACATAATACAGTTTAGATTTTCATTTCGGGTTTTCACCGGTATCGTTTATTTTTATGAATAAACACGTCAAATTCACAACTAAGGGCAAACAATTAAATTTATTTAGTATTTTATTTAAAAATATATGTAATTTCCTTACTACAAACACTGCGAATTTGAATTAAATCAAAATATTTTTTTAGGTAAGCTTATAATTTTTTATGCAATGTAAAAGAAGTATAAAAGTCGCAATGTGATGAATTCTTATAAAATTTACATTCGCCAATGTCAGAGGTAACGCTTTATTTCTAACTCGTTTTTTTTTATTGTATTCATAAAGAATCCTGTATTTGTGTTTGTTACATGTATAGCCAAGTTGAAATGACAGCTTGGTAAGCTAATATAGGAGTATTATAAGAATTGGTGCACTCATTATCTTCCCTTTTTAGTCCACTGTCAAATGTACACCCGTGTGCTCCTTGATGAGGCAGGTGTGGGAGTAGTCTAAAGGCGGGGACACACTTGTCATACACCCTTCCGATCCGACTCCGATCATACTGTGGTACGACTGTCGGAGAGGGGAATGGTACATAACTTTAAACGTGGTTGTTTACACCTCTCCGACACGCGTCACGTCATACTCCGATCCTACTCCGATTTTGGCTCCGATCACGCACCGACACTGCAGTCTATTCGTTTGTCGGATGCAGGATGGGTTGTTTTTTTAAAATCACCTTTATTCTTAAGATTTAAGAATAATGGTTTAAGATAAATATATGCCGATGCTTTATGTGAAATCTGTGCGTGCATACCTTCAATTTGAGACCTCGATCATGAAAATCGGACGGGTAGAAGAGCCAAACGAACTCGAGAGAGAAAACCCAATGTGCTTAATATAAGATGGGCACTTAAGTAAACCACCTAAATCTCTTCGTTTGACCTTTGAGAAATACAATTTCGATGGTGGCACTCTTGAAAATTGTGCGTTTGAACGCTGTGGGTAAAAAACAAAATGGCCGCCATTTAAAATGTTTAAAGTCAAATTCCATGAAAACCAGCTATTAAAATAAAGTTTTGCAACACATTATTTTAAGTCCTTTTTATTCCAAATCGAATGACACTTTATTTGCGAAAATCGGATAATAAATAAAAAAGCTATGTAACTTTTGTTATTAATGCTAATTATCAAAATGGCAGTCATTTTAACACCACAAAGTTAAATTCCATAGAAACTAGTGTCAAAAACATTATAAAAGTTACATAACTTTTTTATTTATTATCCGATTTTCGCAAATAAAGTGTCGTTCGATTTGTAATAAAAATGACTTTACATAATGTGTTTCAAAGTTTTGTTTTAATTGCTAGTTTTCATGGAATTTGACTTTAAAAACTTTTAATGGCCGCCATTTTGAAATTCGATGAGCCTAATCAACGATTTTTTCGGAGAATGTTAATAGTTTTAGACTTAAAGTTTATACCAAGTTTCATAAAAATATCTTCAAGGGCTATTGAGTTATGAGTTATTTTCAAAAAATTCAAAATGGCGGATTACGGCTAAACTAAGCCGAAATCGAAACAAATTTATACAACATTTTTGACTTATTTTTGCACATAGAATCTGAATCTGCACAGTCCACAACGCTTTACTGAAACACCCTTTATTACTTTTTGAAATATTTAACTGTCCTGGGACATTACATCCACCCTGATTAATTTTATTCATGAAAAATATAAAATTATGTTTTATGAAATAATGGTTGATCCTACATAAAAACAACTGTAATCATATTTTTTGTGCAGATTTAAAATAGCTACATTTTGGTATCAACAATTCTTTTGTAACCCTAACGGTTACTGATATAAGATATAAGTAAGAAAACAAGATTGCTATGGTGGCCATTTTGTTTTTTACCATTCGGCGTTCAAACGCACAATTTTCAAGAGTGCCACCATCGAAATTGTATTTCTCCAAGGTCAAACGAAGAGATTAAGACTACTCCCACACCTGCCTCATTAAGGAGCACACGGGAGCCTGTATATGTACATTTGACAGGGGACTATTTGCTTGTATTAGATATTTGATTGCGCATGACATTGTTCTTACCTTACAACCACAGCCGCAGCCGCCGTTTCTTACGACTACTTGTTCTTCGCTGGATGATGCTTCAGAGGCTGAAGAGCTGGATGACTTCTTGGACTTCTGTGCCTTTACAAATGCGCCCGAACCGTCCTGAAATTATTAAAGCCATATAGTGCTACTGTATACCATTAACTAAAGTTAGTTTAATTTTACCAACCTGGATCATGATATCGCAGTATAGGTCGACTCCTTAGTGAATATCTTGGATAGACTAAATATGATGTTTCCTGGGTAGATTGTTTCCTTATTCGTATCTTAGTTTCACTTTTCAGAAAGAACCAGTAAACACGATCGAGTGATTTGAACTGAATTGTATAAATAATTATGAATGGTTTGATACAGAAATATTAGGAAAAACACTTTTTGCTAAAGGATACATAGTTAATTTGGAAGGAGTTATTTTGTGATCAAAACTTTTCTTAGGGTTATTAACGGATTTGGAAGTTGTTTGCTGAAATTTTAAAGATCTCACTCTAAAATGGTGCAAACCCTAAAATGAGCTTAGTAAATGCTAAAAGCCTCGCAGCAGTTGACCTCTAAGTTCCCATGTTAATCCCTAAATATGAAGTATCTGCTGGGAATTACTCAAACTGTTCATAAAAGTTATTTATAAACAATAGGTATTCTTAGTAGGGGGCAATATGCCAGAAAAGGTTTGATTTTCAAAACATTTTTATTAGATGAACTACTTGTATAGCGGGCGAGTATTTTCGATAGTAAACACATTTATACTATACTAAAATTGAAATATTTCATTGTCTCTGACCACTTTGTCAATCAAAAAGAGAGTAAGATTGTTATGTAGGCTTCTTTATAAATTGTGCAAAGTTTCAAAGCTTTTGGCGCATGATTGGACTCTAGTATTATCAAATCAAACGTATAAACCTCTGCATGGGACCCTCTGTATATCAGAAAAATGAACTGAATCTTCAAACGTTAAAGTGTATGGTTGATTATCAATGTTTTTCTATTCTTAATAATTGAAGAGAATTTACCCATACATAAAATAACAGTGGAATAAATTTATCATATTCTTACAGTATATTGAATATTGAATTACTTACATTTTGTGATACAAATGACTCGGAGCTTTTTTCTGCATTTTGGGACACAGCTTTGCTAGAATCCTCCTTGGCTTTCTTCTCGTAGAATCCGTTTCCTGATATTATTTGTTCTTCGCTAGAACTGGCGTCGGCGGACGAGGAAGAAGAGGCCTCTTGAGATTTTGACTTGGCGATTGACTGAAAAACAGGAAAGAATACCTTTAGTGTGGTTTGAATTAACAAATAATATAAAACATATTTTTTTAAACCTGCATCAGTAGGCAATTTGAATAGTTGTTGAAATTATAGGCCAGAAATCAGGTAGTGGTTATCGATTGAGACAGTTTCAAAAGCCATAAAAACTAACCGTAGCGCTGTACCTCTATACCAGCTCCCTCTCGGTTAGTTAAAGTTATTATTTTTTTATCATAGGCTACTGTCCGGGAAGCAGCCGTTTTTAGTTCTCTAAATCGTCAGCAAAATCATCGTTTTCAGGTTACTTTAAATAGGGAACAGAAACGCATGGTAAAATTTTTGGTTCGCTAACCTCAAAACTTTCACTCCTAGTGATGAAAACTACTATTACATAAATGACACCGTATTGTATTCCTAGACACAACACAGTAATTGGCTACTTACGCATGATGAGGGCCTGGCCAAGCTGCTTGGGGTTACCTGCAAACATAAAACTGCATTAGGCTATGTAAAGTATAAGAATTAATCAATATATACATTACATTCATCAACAGTGTCACTATAACAAATTTTGTTTGCAAATTTTACAGTTTCACATACATTGAGCAACTATTGATCGTGTATTTTTAAACTATAATGATTTACTTTAGTGTTATAAATTGATCTTATAATGTACAGTAAAAATCTTCACTTCACAACATCGTGTCAAATATTTTTTGCTGTAATTCATTTAAAAACAGATACCATTAACAAATTATTAAAATGAACAGAAAATTTAGAGCAAAAAATCGAATAGTTAAATATTGTAAATAATACAAATTCTGTGAATGCCACATTCCATGAAAAACTATACCAGTACATTAATATCTTCTGCAAGAGCAAAGGTTACAAAACAAGGTAGCATTAAAATAAATACTCATAGTTAAGTTAGTCTTAAGAACTATAGCCAAATGTCTGAAAACTGTCTATGTAAAATGGTTTTGTTTCTATAGTATTATTAACAATTCGTAATGTGGGGCTAATCGAGACTCAAAACAAAAAACAATAATTAGGTACCACCGAAAGTGGAATACTATTTGATAATGAAGAAGATATTCAATTTATATGGTTCATCTCTAGCCAATTTTGAATCAAACAATATCACAGTTAAATGAGTGTTCCATAGTCTAAACGCTATTTTTCCCTTGGGTTTGATACAGATTTTTACTTAATTTTTTGTTAAAGTGCTGGTTGAAATGACATAACATGCCATAGTTGACGAGTTATTTTTGGTTAAAAAGTTGGCATTTTCAATGGAACATGGTGGATGGTAAGCTACATCAGTGTACCGTTGGGTAGTTCAAGTCAATAATGATAATTTTTTCTTAAGTGGCTACAACTTTGACTAGGAAGTCTCCAATGCATGGTGAAAGATAAAAATATAATAGTCAATAATTATTTGATCTAATGTTCAACTTTTGGTCTGCATTGTGTGAGGAACTTACCAAGAGCACGGCTAGTGCTGCAGAGAGCAGCACGATTGAGGTCCTCATAGTCACAAGGTAGAGGGATCTGGGTATCTAGTATATATAGTGTACAACACATGTCTATTACTTGTCTAAACATATTAGACTTCGTTACTGATGTGCGCAATCAGCAGCGCCTTGCGAACGGCTTTGATTGCGATAGATGCTGCTAATCACTTTCTCAAACTCTCTCGCGGAAATCTTACAATATAATACTTTATCCTACTAATATTATAAATGAGAAAGTTTGGATGTATGGATGTATGGATGTATGGATGTATGTTTGTGACAAGTGAGCGCGAAAAATACTGGTCGGATTGGGCTGAAATTTGGCATGATGATAGCTCACATTCCCGATTAACATATAGGCATATTATTATTTCAAAAATCCTTTCGGGCTCCGCCCCAGTGGCTCTGGAGTTTCCCATGTTAACCTTATGAGAAATGGAATTATTGAATCTTAACAGCTGTTTCAATTAAACAAGTTGGTTCTGTTCTATGATGTTCAATAGCATTAAAGTTACAAGGATTTGCCAACAGGGTGCAGCACTATTATTTCTTTTACATTTATGACAACAGCTAATTTGCAACCAAAAGGTGAGTGAGCGTAGCGAACGAACTTCAACCTGGAGGCGAGTTAGCGTAGCGAACGAGCTAACCTGAAGGCAAGTGAGCGCAGCGAACGAGCTCCAACCTAAAGGTGAGTGACCGTAGCGAACAAACTTCAACCAGGACGTGATTGAGCCATGCGAACGAGATAATCTTGAAAATTAAGAAGTTAAACGAGGCAAAGCCCGCGGGTTACAGCTAGTAATTGTATATATATCAGTGCAAGTGGCTATGCAAAATTTCATTTAGCTCATAACACGTTAGTGTGTAATTTAATTTTAAAATACCTTAAATAAGGTTGATAATACTGTTTCATTTTTTATAAAGAAATAGAACATGGTCTCAGATGGGAAAACTTTGTTTGTCTGGATATTCTTATCGAATGGCAAAAATCTCAAACTTGATAAGGCTCATGACCTTTATATCGACGCCTTGTAGAGCAATAAGCACTTAGTTTTGACGTTGAATTGATCAATAGTAGTCTACGCAACGATCGCGTAAAGGTAGACCTCAACGTTGAGAACGTCCTCAACGTACAAATGTTTTAATGGTAAAACCTTTAAACTAAGAAACAAAGGCTACGAATGCTCGAATTTACTTTTTTTCAAATTCAATCTAATAAACCTTTTTGAGTAACCTGTAAACATATTAAATTTGACACATAAACACCTCCCAACTAATAATGGTATAGGCTATTATATTCTACTTTTGTGCCATAGACAAACATGATTTTCTAGACATATCTAGAGAAACTACATCATTGAGAAATAGTAGTTTTCATCACTAGGAACGAAAGTGGCTCTTTTTACGATTAGGTACCAAAAAGACACTTTCGCTCCATGTGATGAACAACTATTTTCATCATACTTAGGAAATAACCTTCTAATCGTTACAAAATGTGACCACATAATTCGAGTTTATACAAAGTCGTCATCAATCTTTACATTTCTGTTTACAAACATAATGTATAATATCGTGGGATTAGCAGCGTTTTTAAACAAATTTTGAGGTTAGCGAACAGAAAAATTTACCAGTTTTGCGGATAGTCTGATGAAAATAAAATATTATTCAGACCTAATTAAATATTTTTGTATCTGCGAAATGTGAGCTTTCCATGTAAAACAACTTGTCCAAATATAGCCTACACATAGATACTTTATAGAGCTGATTTTTTACAGAAGAATTATTACTACAATTTTGTTAACTGAGCATTTCAGTTAGTACACCTATACTACTTTGTCAAAAGTAGGGCCTATTTTCATTAGCTTGGCCTCAAAGAAAATTAATGAAGTTAGTTTTTACAATACCATTCTATTTTTTTAAAACCACATATTAAATCTTTCTCTATAACAGATATATGTATGTAAAAGTATGATAAATATATGTTAAAGCATTGTAGTCGGCAAATGAAAACAATCTACCTTTGAAGTTACCCTTGCAAACACTATTTACATACACTATGAAAAGGATAGGGCCTAAAGCTATTCCTTGGGACATCCCATGTGTAATTACTCACTCATACAATATAATCTCCTATTTTTACACACTGCTTGCGTCCTAGCATACATCTCAAACCATTTGTTAGCTACACCTGTAATAGGCTACGCTAACCACTGTTTGGCAACCATTCTATTAGAATTGAGTGTAAAACACTTTTAGGCCTAAATGTTTTAGGAGATGTGTACACCATAGAAATAAAGCACTCTTTCAAAGAACTTGATTTATTCCATCTTTGCCTTGGACATCCTTATTTATCTTTAAGAGTTAACAAGTATCTAAACCTTCTCAAAATATACAGGTTCCAGAAATATCGAGTTTAAGTGAGATTACACCCCCAATAGCCCTACCTGGGCTGTGGATGGATATGTCCGACAATCTCCATTTACGTTCCGAGCGGGAAACGGATATATCCGTCCCGAGATTTTTTTTCTGGGCTAAAGGCGGAAATATCCGCTAAAGAACAAATTGATATACATTTCCTACAATAAGAAAATAAACACAATACTGCATTAAAGATGGGTTATTTTGTTTTTGTAGTCGGCAATAATAATTGCCGCAGCTGTTTCAGCTATTTATTTTTCCTAGTTACCTAACAATGTACATGTTCTCTAACTGATTTGAGAAAGCAAAGTGGCCAATTCGCTCATTGTTAACATTGTCTCACCCTAATTACTTTGTCTCAATCCAGATTTGCAACGTGAAGGCACGAAATAGTGAGCGCGTAACATGCAGACAAGGTCGTATGCGCGCGAAATACGTTGGCAGCACTGGCTGTAAATCAGCTGGTCAGCTGTTGTACTGTTGATGATCGTGTTGATCATTAAATATCATATTAAAAGTTCACTTAAGTGTAAAAATATGTCACGTTTCTTTACTAATTTATTTGTTTTATTGTAACTGTAGGAAAAATATAATGTGCAACTCGAGTGAAAAGTGCAATTGCCTCACTCGAGAAACCATTCCTCACTCGCCTACGGCTCGTGAGTAAGTATTTCTCTCGAGTGAGTCAATTGCTCCCTTTGCTCACTAGTTGCACAAACAACTATTGTGCCGTGGAGTGAGGGAATATTGCGAATTTGTCAGTTCACCTAAGGTTCTTAGTGAAAGATTTGTGTTTTGACATTTGTGTTTTAGTTTACTTTTATATTATTGAGTTATAATGAGAGGTATAATGATAAAAATAGTTTTTGAGGTATAACGACTAGTGGTTTTATCAAGTCGTTTCAAAGCGGGCGTTAAAATGGCGGCTGTTCAAAACTAAAAGAGTTGTTAGCAAAATAGGTGTGAATGGTTGTAAATGAAAATAACTATGCGGTATGTAAATCAAATAATATAGTGTGTACATTCAGGAAAGAGAACGTTTTAATACAAGAAATAGTATCCTTATAAAATAAAATTGTTTACAAACAATGAAGCTTCTTTAAACAAATGAATATGAAATAATCTAATTTTTTCCAACTTACGCCTTAAAAAATAAAAATTTGCATAATATAACATTAGGAGTACGCAAATATAATGAAATAGAATTTCGTTCAGATATGATGATTTACAGGTTGAAGTGTGCTTGGAACCATCGGTTCACTGCACAAATAAGCCACGTAGCGAACTATACAATTTTACTTAAGCCACCAGGACAGAGGTACCATGCTCTTACCGTGATACCAACGGAGCTCTATTTCCACTTGATAAATGTAAAATAAGGATCTTCCATGAAATTAATTTTTCTTGGAAGTAAAAAGTTATTTTGATCGTGTTTTGGGGCATCTAAGGAGTTTGAAATATTAAAAAAAAAACATCATCCATCAATAGCACGCAGTGCTATCAAGTTGCAGGCAAACGTATATGGTATAAGTAACGTTTACATCAAAGGAGAACCCATACAATGAAAGATACATGTTTAGAGAATCTCTGAAAAGAGGAATGAAATCACATTACAGCAAAATACACTAGGCTGATCAAATTCCAAAATACTCAGTAGCCCGAAATTGTTTCGTGATATAGAAGTAAGCATGCAACAACACGGTAACACAGCACCAGATCACGAAATTAATTTTCTCATACTTTTGGTTGCGTGTCATCGAAAAAAATAATTATGTTTCGGTTAAATCGGGGACATAGCGTGTCTTGGCTTACATCTGTCGTGCAGTGGCGTACCTAGTTATCTTGTGAGCCTCAAGTCTCAATTAACATCACTGGGTGATCATGCACATAAACAGTTACCCTAGACCCAGGAGATGCAATATTCCTATCTTGACTTACATCTGTCGTGCAGTGGCGTACCTAGTTATCTTGTGAGCCTCAAGTCTCAAGTAACATCACAGGGTGACCATGCACACAAACAGTTACTCTAGACCAAGGAGATGCAATATTCCTATCTTGACTTACATCTGTCGTGCAGTGACGTACCTAGTTATCTTGTGAGCCTCAAGTCTCAAGTAACATCACAGGGTGACCATGCACACAAACAGTTACTCTAGACCAAGGAGATGCAATATTCCTATCTTGACTTACATCTGTCGTGCAGTGACGTACCTAGTTATCTTGTGAGCCTCAAGTCTCAAGTAACATCACAGGGTGACCATGCACACAAACAGTTACTCTAGACCAAGGAGATGCAATATTCCTATCTTGACTTACATCTGTCGTGCAGTGACGTACCTAGTTATCTTGTGAGCCTCAAGTCTCAAGTAACATCACAGGGTGACCATGCACACAAACAGTTACCTAGAACAAGGAGATGCAAAATTCCTATCTTGACTTACATCTGTCGTGCAGTGACGTACCTAGTTATCTTGTGAGCCTCAAGTCTCAAGTAACATCACAGGGTGACCATGCACACAAACAGTTACTCTAGACCAAGGAGATGCAATATTCCTATCTTGACTTACATCTGTCGTGCAGTGGCGTACCTAGTTATCTTGTGAGCCTCAAGTCTCAAGTAACATCACAGGGTGACCATGCACACAAACAGTTACTCTAGACCAAGGAGATGCAATATTCCTATCTTGACTTACATCTGTCGTGCAGTGGCGTACCTAGTTATCTTGTGAGCCTCAAGTCTCAAGTAACATCACAGGGTGATCATGCACACAAACAGTTACCCTAGACCCAGGAGATGCAATATTCCTATCTTGACTTACATCTGTCGTGCAGTGGCGTACCTAGTTATCTTGTGAGCCTCAAGTCTCAAGTAACATCACAGGGTGATCATGCACATAAACAGTTACCCTAGACCCAGGAGATGCAATATGCCTCTATTGGCTTACATCTGTCGTGCAGTGGCGTACCTAGTTATCTTGTGAGCCTCAAGTCTCAAGTAAAATCACAGGGTGATCATGCACATAAACAGTTACCCTAGACCCAGGAGATGCAATATTCCTATCTTGGCTTACATCTATCGTGCAGTGGCGTACCTAGTTATCTTGTGAGCCTCAAGTCTCAAGTAAAATCACAGGGAGATCATGCACATAAACAGTTACCCTAGACCCAGGAGATGCAATATTCCTATCTTGGCTTACATCCATCGTGCAGTGGCGTACCTAGTTATCTTGTGAGCCTCAAGTCTCAAGTAACATCACAGGGTGACCATGCACACAAACAGTTACTCTAGACCAAGGAGATGCAATATTCCTATCTTGACTTACATCTGTCGTGCAGTGGCGTACCTAGTTATCTTGTGAGCCTCAAGTCTCAAGTAACATCACAGGGTGACCATGCACACAAACAGTTACTCTAGACCAAGGAGATGCAATATTCCTATCTTGACTTACATCTGTCGTGCAGTGGCGTACCTAGTTATCTTGTGAGCCTCAAGTCTCAAGTAACATCACAGGGTGATCATGCACACAAACAGTTACCCTAGACCCAGGAGATGCAATATTCCTATCTTGACTTACATCTGTCGTGCAGTGGCGTACCTAGTTATCTTGTGAGCCTCAAGTCTCAAGTAACATCACAGGGTGATCATGCACATAAACAGTTACCCTAGACCCAGGAGATGCAATATGCCTCTATTGGCTTACATCTGTCGTGCAGTGGCGTACCTAGTTATCTTGTGAGCCTCAAGTCTCAAGTAAAATCACAGGGTGATCATGCACATAAACAGTTACCCTAGACCCAGGAGATGCAATATTCCTATCTTGGCTTACATCTATCGTGCAGTGGCGTACCTAGTTATCTTGTGAGCCTCAAGTCTCAAGTAAAATCACAGGGTGATCATGCACATAAACAGTTACCCTAGACCCAGGAGATGCAATATTCCTATCTTGGCTTACATCCATCGTGCAGTGGCGTACCTAGTTATCTTGTGAGCCTCAAGTCTCGAGTAACATCACAGGGTGATCATGCACATAAACAGTTACCCTAGACCCAGGAGATGCAATATGCCTCTATTGGCTTACATCTGTCGTGCAGTGGCGTACCTAGTTATCTTGTGAGCCTCAAGTCTCAAGTAACATCACAGGGTGATCATGCACATAAACAGTTACCCTAGACCCAGGAGATGCAATATGCCTCTATTGGCTTACATCTGTCGTGCAGTGGCGTACCTAGTTATCTTGTGAGCCTCAAGTCTCAAGTAACATCACAGGGTGATCATGCACATAAACAGTTACCCTAGACCCAGGAGATGCAATATTCCTATCCTGGCTTACATCTATCGTGCAGTGGCGTACCTAGTTATCTTGTGAGCCTCAAGTCTCAAGTAAAATCACAGGGTGATCATGCACATAAACAGTTACCCTAGACCCAGGAGATGCAATATTCCTATCTTGGCTTACATCCATCGTGCAGTGGCGTACCTAGTTATCTTGTGAGCCTCAAGTCTCAAGTAACATCACAGATGCAATTATCATTGTAAAATAAGATGGGGACACCATCTAGGTGCGCAATACCTTTATCTTGGCTAATTGATGTCTTTTTTCTGGACTTACCTGCAGATTATCGAGTACGAAAATTTGAAAATACTACTATATTTTTTTATAAAAGAAACGTTGATGACTTGTGTCACCCATCGAAGTATACTTCGATGGTGTCACCACATAAATACACATAAGGTTGAAATTCTTCCCCCTTCTAAGAAATCAATAGTTACAGGTAAGAAGAATGTTACTACAAACATGTAAAACAGTATTCAGTTTTTATTGTAAAAACCTTGTCCTAAGCTGATATAATGTACACGGTGCTTGAATGTCAAGCAGTTATGGTGGAGAGTGGAGAGTGGTGGGTGACTAGCCCCAGGCGCCACCGATGGAGCCACCGACCCCGCGGTCCCTCTGGCCGTTGTTGGGACCTCCGTAGGTCCTCTCCCAGTGTCCGTGGACCTCGGCCTTGACCTTGCCGTCCTTGGTCACGTCCCATTGCTGGTTGCCCTCAGCTCGCACCACGGTTCCACCACTCTTGGTCTGGTCCGTCTTGACCACCCAGCCGCCGTCCGAACCGGGGTTCTGTTGTTGTTGGGGACGGGCCGAGGTTGTGGCCAACAGAACCACAACAACCACCATCAAACTCAATAACAACTTCATGTTCAAATCCTGCAAACAAAATACATAATTTATTACTACTTAGTTACGAATTAGATAAAGAAAAAGAGTTTGGTGGCTGTTAAACAATTCCTGAATGTAGTACCTTTTTGTCAAAACCGGCAACCAAGCAAAAATCTAGTTCACACTCTTGGTGTAAAATACGATTATTTGTAAATAAAGTAAACTATCAGATTATTACTCTCAGATGAGTCTAAATAACCTTCTCACGAGGTGAAGCAGCGATGTCAAGTGGTTAGTTATATACAAATCAGACTTGTTTACAAAATTACAACAACTGAACTAAAAGGTTATCACGGTTTGACAATGACTGATGTATTTTTAATTTCTGATTAGGTTATTTGGAGGTACAGTATTATAGTGCGTGGAACAAGTGTAAAAATCTTTCACTTCCGGAGACCAGCACCATACTTTGGGAATCGACTAAATACATCTAAAAGAGTGAAAATCAGCCGGGAGGCAAGCTTTAAAATAATTACGTCACGGACAGTGACATCATCAAAATGGCCGCTCAGCCGATTATAAGAATGCCGCATATCTCGGCAACCGCGTAACCGATTTTGACGTATGACATCTTATTTGAAAGGTCTAATCATTGTCTATAAAAAAGGTAATTACACTTATAGCGATTAAACCAACGGTTTCTTTGTATTTTGTAAGAAATTAATTTTTTACCCCCCACAAAATGGGTTTTTTGGATTTTTCATTTGGAAAAATTAAAATAATCAAAATTTACTTTCCACCCATGAATTCAGCTTAAAAAAATGAACAATTTAGTATTTTTAATCATCATTCTATGTGTATTTGTTACCGAGATATTGAAAGTGGTAAACTCAGAACACTGTTTCCCATGTTATTCTTATGGAAAAAATAAAATTCTATATTTCGGTTATTTTTTAACATATCTTAATAAAACTCGGTATGTGGCTTCACCAAGTTGATCTACTTGATAATGACTATTAAATAATTATATTTTACATTTACATGGCAGCAGACCTGCGTACTCATTTTCCATTCAATTCGTAAGGCGAATATTTATGCATGATTATATATGAACATATGTTGACAAAACTTAACGTTAGGCTTCATTTTCATTAATTATAGAAAAATTTGAAATTCGCCGAGTATGCAGGTCTACTGCAATGGGGTTTTTTATAAATATCAGTAATTTTATTTTTGGAAATATTTTTTTCCTGGGTTGGTCAGACTGATCACCCAAGAGACCTTTGATGGTTAACAAGACCTAACAGCTGGTAGGGTCATTTGTCCATTGTTGACCAAGAAACGTGATAATAACATGTTTGTTTTTGTCTTATTTGAGTTTAGATTGTTCTAGTAATTTAAATTTAGGGACAGATGTGTTTTTTGCTTTTTAAAACATAGTTGTAGATTGTTTAGATTTCTTCGATATTTTTTGTGGTAACCTGAAGAAGATAGTACTGTATTCATAGTAATTTTATTTTTGGGTAAGAATCTTTTGATGAAAACATAGTAATGAATTTTTCTGTGGTTACCTGAAGAATATTTTAGCATTTCAGGCTTTGGACAGTGGATTCTTCACTTAAACATAGAATTAGACTGTTTATATAATCTTTATAATTAGTATAGAATACGGCTTGACGTCTCTGTTATTTCCTTTCAACAAATTTTATTAATGATCTTTAATATAATACAACCAAAGTGGGCATGTCCAAAAAAGAGAAACGGAAGTTTGTATTGCTTGATGCAAGCCTTGTAACACCGACTATATCATGGGAAAAGTGCATCCTATGCCAAATTAAAAACAAAGAGGCTCTAATTTCACCAGCAGAAAGTGGATATAAATCACTTAGTGAACATTTGAATGAGTATGCAAAATATGAAACCCTCCCATCTCACTTACAGCAGGAAAATATTCATCATGCCATTGTTCAAAATAGTGCCAAGTATCATAAAACATGCAGAAGCAAATATAACAGGCGCATGATCGAAAGACTGAGAAAAAAGCCACGCCTTGATATTACATGCTTGGATGAGATTCTGCCCCAGAAAAATCCCGAAAATAATTCAGTTGAAGGCAAGAACTATTTCAAGACTAGATCAAGTTGCACTCCATTTGATATTAAATCCACCTGTATATTTTGCGAGCTTAATGATCACAAGGAAAAACTTGTGTCTGCATCAACACTTGGCATTGGACCAAATATATTAGCATATGCGCAGCAAATTGAGGACCAAAAACTTCTTTCAAAGCTGTACTCAACAGATTTTATTGCTTTAGGAGCAAAATACCACAAGTCTTGTTACAAAAGTTTATTAAATAAAGTTCGAAGTAAGAGCAGGTCACAGTGTAATGTAAATAGCGATCCTTCAAAAACTGCATTTGGCTCGGTTGTAAATGAACTAGTAACTTACTTGCAAGACATGTACGTCTACAATGATACAGTCCCAGTTTTCCGGTTGGCAAATCGTGTGAAGCTTGTTGATGAACGGCTTGAACAATTGGGTTTCACCGATTTTGTGGTAAATAGCACTCGACTAAAAGATCAACTGATTGCTTTTGTACCGGGTCTTCGCGAAGACAGAGTTGGTCGAGACATTTTTCTTACCTTTGAAGGAGATGTACATAATGCCATATTTGATGCTTGTAATTTCAATTCTTTAAGTGATGGAATGTGTCTTTCGCGTGCTGCAAATATTCTTCGTGAAGATATGTTTGCTGAGTACCCTAAGTTTGACGGTTCTTTTACAGAACCATTTACAAGTGTAAACTGTGTGTCTAAGAAATCAATAATGTTTTTTAGAATGGTATTAGAAGGCATTTCTACTGGAAAACCAATAACTAGAGAAGAAGCATCGTTTGAGAAACAAGAGAAGTTGCCTCTTGCAGCTGTGACTATTGCACAATTGGTTAGATTTAATAGCATAAAAAGAAAACGACAATCCGATGCTAAGTTCACACGTCATAACATAGACCAAGAAACTCCTCTACCCTTATATTTAGGGCTAATGATTCACAATCATACAGGGGGGGAAAAGATCGTTAACAAAATGTATCAACTTGGCTTGAGCGTATCCTATAAGAGAGTTCAACAAGTAGAGCATTCTGTTGCCGCTAGTGTATGCGAGTATTACAATCAGAATAAGGACACTGTTGTGCCGCCCAATATTACACAAGATGTATTTACATGTGCGGCGATAGACAACATAGACCACAATACATCCTCTAATCAGTCACTCGACTCATTTCACGGTACAAGCATATCGCTAATACAATATCCCTCAGACCACCACAAGAAAAACGTGATGAAATCGTTAAATAACAATGTACACAACAGTAAGATTTCTCTACCTCAGTGGTACACATCAGTTATACCAACCGCTAAATGTAGCTGTGACAACCCTTTACCCGTGATAAATGACTCGTATGGTAATTCCAACTTCAATGTTTTTGAAGAAACAAAAGAATGGGTGGATCAGGTTACATCCAATGCTGAAGAGAACATTCTACCATGGGCTGTATTTCACTCTCGTAAGGAAGAAAATGCTTATATCAACAAATCAAAGTGCACATCAACTCTACTTCCACTCCTAAAAGAAGACATCAACTCACCAGCTATGGTTCGTCATTCTATGAACATTGTTATAACTTTGTTGAAAAATATAAACTCAGATCAAATTCCAGTTATCACGGCAGACCAACCAGTATATGCGATCGCAAAGCAAATTCAGTGGAGGTATCCTGATTTGTACGGAGAAGACAAAATGTTTGTAATGTTAGGCGGACTTCACATTGAGATGGCCATAATTTCTATGATTGGTTCATGGCTAGAAGGCTCTGGTTGGACTGAAAATCTCATAGAAGCCAATGTTACAACTTCAGGAAGGGCTGAGGGCATCCTCAACGCATCTCACGTTAAAAGAAGTCGGTATGCTCATGAAGTGAGCTATGCATCCCTTAATATTCTTTTGCAGCAAGCATACGATAGCAATGAAACTTCATTAACAGAAAATAAAACTGATTGGTGTAACCGGATGCAGCAAGAATCTGTTCAGTTCAAATACTGGCTAACAACTATGCAATTAGAAGGTCTTCTTTTAGTTTTTGTTCGCAGCATCCGTCAGGGAAACTTTCAAGATTTCATTTCAGTGCTTGAAAATATATGCCCTTGGATGTTTGCACTTGACCGTGTAAACTACGCTAGATGGTTGCCAATTTTCATACACAGTCTATGGAATTTACCAGAGCTTCACCCGACAGTGTATAGAGAATTTTTAAATGGAAACTTTGTAGGCTGTAAAACACTGCGCAACTTCTCATGCTTGTCTCACGATCAAATTCATGAGCAAAACAACAAACTTGTGAAACTTGACGGTAAAAAACTATCCCTACTGAGCAACAAAGATGCACTTCTAAAGTGGATGACTGCTGGCCCAGAAATTTCACGTATGAACAATGACTTTGAAGAAATCAACAACTTGGATGAAAAGCCTTCTTTGGAGTCAGGCAAACACCACGAAGATAAGGAATCATTTAAGATTCGCTTTCAACAAAATACTTGTGATTTAGTTCAAGTGTACCAGGAGAATGGTAATCCATTTGATGAGAAATACCTTACAACCGTTAACAGCAGTAAAGTAGTCATGAGCGATATAGCTGCAAAATCTGTCCTTGAAGCCCACGTCACAGGACAAGAACAATATGCCACCTACGTAAATGATCGTATAGTTTGTAGAAAAACATCTATTCATGATGTAATAAAACGGAACAATCTTGTATTGTTCTCTAAGAAAAAAGTTCCCCTTAAGTCAAAAGAAAAAAATCAGGTAGCACATTTGAGAAAGGATTCCAATGTATTTTGCCGACTTTACGTTGCAAGCCAAGTTAGACAAGGAAATGTGGAAGAGTTTTTTTCTCATGAAAATAGTACGTTTCCCCCATCTATTTCTGAGTCCGGTGAGCTTCGACTCCCTTCATGTAAATCTGATATTGTATCCTGTGTTAAAAAAACTTGCTGTTTATCAAGCGAAGCTATGGCCCAAACACCAAATGTGTCTGTCCTAATAATCGACGGAGCTGCCCTCATTCACATGTTGACACCTGGGTCTGCAATTACATTTCAGCAGTACATTGACTCTGTTGTAATACCTTATATAAGTCGAAGGTTAGAGACTGTCAGTAGATTGGACCTGGTGTTTGACCAATACAGAAAAGGAAGTTTAAAGTCCCAAACTCGCCAGTCCAGAGGAAGTGGTAATCGTATAGCGGTCAAACCTGGAGTAAAGATACCACGCAATTTTAAACAATTTTTGTCTGAAGACAGCAACAAGGAAGAATTGTTTAGTATGCTGGCAAACAGTATCGTTGCAATTGACAGCCCTGGCAAACAAATATTTTGCACTTTGAAAGATAAAGTACTATCATCAACCGGTCAAGAGAGTGTTCAATCAATTTCTCCATCTTTGCATGAGGAAGCAGATGCCCGACTTCTTTTACATGCAAATGATGCTGCTATGCATGGACACAACCAAATAACTATTAAAACTGTAGATTCTGATGTAGTTTGCATAGCTTTATTTGCATTTCCCTACATTACACAAGCTGAAGAACTATGGATTGAATATGGAACAGGAAAGCATTTACAGTATGTGCCTATTCATGAATTACATTCAAAGCTTCCCAGTGGTATGTCCGAGCTTATACCATTCTTCCACTCATTCACAGGTTGTGATACGGTGTCATCGTTTTCTGGCGTTGGGAAAAAAATTGCTTGGAAAACATGGATGGCATTTCGTGATGTTGATGTAGCCTTCAAAGAGTTTTCAAATATTTCAGCAACAAGTGTTACGACTGACAGTATTGAATTTTCCTTAGTTGAACGTTTTGTGGTTTCAATGTACCACCCTGCATGTACTGCAGAACATGTAAACCACGCACGCAGAATACTTTTTACTCAAATGAATAGAACCATAGAACATATACCACCAACGGCGGATGCGCTATTGCAGCATTTAAAACGTTCGATGCTTCAATGTAACGTTTGGAGAAACTGCTTAACAAAAAGCCCAACAGTAATCGATCCATGTCAGTGGGGCTGGAAATCAGATGATGGCACCAAGTTCACACCTCTCTGGACAACGATTCCAGACGTTAGTGTACACTGCCAAGAACTCGTTTCATGTAAGTGTAAGGAACGATGTACAAAGTGCCGCTGTGTGAAAATGGGACTTCGTTGCACTCTGTTATGTACTTGCGAAGGTCATTGTACAAGAATGGACACATAGTTAGCTGTGTATATATGAATGAAATATATGTTAACAATAAATACTTACTAATTTTACTTCATATTATTATTACCCTTAATTTAGATACATCAACATTTCAAATATTTAAGAAAAAATTTTACAAAATACTAAAAACTCGGAAAATGAGTACGCAGGTCTGCTGCCATGTAAATGTAAAATATAATTATTTAATAGTCATTATCAAGTAGATCAACTAGGTGAAGCCACATACCGAGTTTTATTAAGATATGTTAAAAAATAACCGAAATATAGAATTTTATTTTTTCCATAAGAATAACATGGGAAACAGTGTTCTGAGTTTACCACTTTCAATATCTCGGTAACAAATACACATAGAATGATGATTAAAAATACTAAATTGTTCATTTTTTTAAGCTGAATTCATGGGTGGAAAGTAAATTTTGATTATTTTAATTTTTCCAAATGAAAAATCCAAAAAACCCATTTTGTGGGGGGTAAAAAATTAATTTCTTACAAAATACAAAGAAACCGTTGGTTTAATCGCTATAAGTGTAATTACCTTTTTTATAGACAATGATTAGACCTTTCAAATAAGATGTCATACGTCAAAATCGGTTACGCGGTTGCCGAGATATGCGGCATTCTTATAATCGGCTGAGCGGCCATTTTGATGATGTCACTGTCCGTGACGTAATTATTTTAAAGCTTGCCTCCCGGCTGATTTTCACTCTTTTAGATGTATTTAGTCGATTCCCAAAGTATGGTGCTGGTCTCCGGAAGTGAAAGATTACTATGTAATATGTTGCTTGTTCCACGCACTAAATATGTTATAATAAGACATTTTAACGTTTTATTGGAGTAAAGGTGATAACATGATAAACCAACTTTATAGCGGTGTGGTTTGTTAAAAAGAAAATATTGAATTGAAATGTCTTTCAGCGATCCTAAAGGGTATACCTTTTTATAATTTCAAAACTCAACAAAAAAGAAATTTCTTGGACAATGCAACAAAAAACAAAATTACCGTAGAGTGAATAGTTATTTGTGCAACTAGTGAGAAAAGTGAGCAATTGACTCACTCGAGAGAAATCCTTACTCACGAGCCGTAGGCGAGTGAGGAATGGTTTCTCGAGTGAGGCAATTGTACTTTGAACTCGAGTTGCACATTATAATTTTCCTACAGTTACCATAAAACAAATAAATTGGTGAATAAACATAACCTATTTTTACACAGAAGTGAACTTTTAATATAACATTTAATGTGAAGTGACAAATACAACAGTACAACAGCTGACCAGCTGATTTACAGCCAGTGCTGCCAACGTATTTCGCGCGCATACGGCGTTGTCTGCATGTTACGCGCTCACTATTTCGTGCCTTCACGTTGAAAATCTGGAGTGAGACAAAGTAATTAGAGTGAGACAATGTTAACATTGTCTCACTGATGAGCGAATTGGCCACTTTGCTTTCTCAAATCAGTGAGAGAACATGTACATTGTTAGGTAACTGTAGGAAAACACATTTGTTAAACCCTCTATTAAATCCATTTTAATAACAAGTAGAACTTGGACAAATGAATTTCTAAACTGTATGTTGATTGACAATGTTTCAATAAATAAAGGATTTACTGAATCAGATTGGCCGGGTAATGAATATTTAGCATTGTAAATTGTATTTGCTCAACGAGATAAAACATACGGTGCAAACAGGCATAGACGATTATAAATGCAATCTTTTCCAGATACGTTTTTAATAATTTTTGTTGCTTTATTTACAAAAAGCAGATTTCCACCATTCTTTGATAGCATTATTCTTAAAAATGTCAACTAAATACAGCTTACTTAGTAGTAAAATTTACTGTAATATAAACCACTCGTATCGTGTTTTCGGGAATGCGTTTAAAACTACCTACTTTAGCCCTCCAAGCCATCTTACAATCAATCAGTTTTTAAGCTATATGCTATATGTCTTATTATTTACCCTTATTATTTAGTCTTATTATTTAGAACCATACTGGTATTCTAGTAGGTGTATCATACACACAATCTAACATGAATTTAGTAAGTTTTTAATGTCTATTAACCATGATATTTTTGTTCTATCTGTAATCTTACAAAAACTCTAAATTGTTGTGGGCCATAGCCCACAAACTCCCATCAATGAACAACATTATTCAGTATTAGTATTAGTATTAGGTTAACTGCATACAGTTAACCTAAAAATCAAAACAGAAGTTAAAAATACTCATAAACAACAGAACATTGTCTCACCTTGGTGCTGTAGTCGTCGCTGCGGATGCTGTGAAGCTGATGATGTTACCCCGCTGTGGAAGACATAATATATACTCACATGGGCCACTCCGGTACATGTAGTGGGGCAGTGGGAACCCCAGAGTACGAAGAATTAGTGTCTGTACAGTACAGCGGTGCAAATACACGTTCTGCTACTTTCCTCATCTCGTCAGCTGAGATAACAGCTGCTGGACCTGTGCCAACGTGTGACGTCATAATCAGCTGATCATGCCAGGCGGGACGCTGCCCGTAGCACTGACCTCGTAAATATATTGTTGTCTTCTCTGTTAGATCAAAGCCATATACGAAGACAACATTTTTTCGGTACGCACTTCATGTTTGGCCTTTGGGTCGAATAAGTCTTTCGACAACGGTAAATGCAACGATGAATATTATTATTTTTGACAGGACATTAGTGATATTATTTTTCTCTAGACTGAATGAGAATTTGATCTAATGAAACACACTCTTTTAAATATTAGTAAAGTATGAATAAAATGTGCTTAACAGAACCAAACTATTAATTTTCCAATAGGTTACAAACCAATACTGTAGCTATGAAGCTATTTTTCAATTCGTTTGAAAGTGATCTGTTAAGGCATAAATATTGCTCTATACTACAGATGTTGTGGTTAACCTTATAACTGATAGTACTGTAGTTATTATTAGACTGATCTAAATGGTTTTCGTAACATGTAGATAAATGGTGTGATAGTAAAATATATAAATGTGAAAAAAGAAAATAATTAGCATTTTGTTACACAAGCTAGTTTTGCTTTGCTGTATTCAAGTAGGTTACGTCCTGAACATAATGCATAATGCATAATGTTCAGATAATTCTGATAATACTAAATAAATTAACAAAATTATTTTCTAATAAAACATACCATAGACAAATAGAATTAAGTAATTCCATTTGTCTATGAACATACGTTTTTAATGTTTCAAAATTTTTAATTAGTTCAAAACTATAGTTAGTTTATATTTCTTCTAAGTATATTAAGGTGGCTTCAAAATACTACATGGCTCAAAACTACAAAAAAGACGTCCAAGAAAATATTATAATGATTTAGTCTCCTAATCCACCCAAGCGAGTGTTTAATTGTAGTTTGAATTTCGTAAGCTGTATATTATTTATCACTTGGTCCTAAAGTGACTATTTTTGACATATCATTCACTGAGCGAGAGTTGAACATACACATATAAGTTACACATTGACCCTTTTGATTTACTGTATTTTCGTCCTTCTGCTACAATTCTATAAATTAATAGTTTACGAAACGAAAGTCTACATCATTTTTCTGTTACTGTTAAGTAGTATTATCCTGCAATTAGCATTACTTAGCCAGCTCAATAATAAATTCAAAGAAAAATTACTGAAATACAGTATTTGCAAATTTAAATACAATGACCCTGTGGGGTGCGAGTTCATAGTAAAGAAGTGTACAATGTGACGCGATGATTCACAAAACAAAATTTTATCTAAGTAACTCAAACATCTTTTTATACGGACTATTTTATTTCAGGGAAGAAATGTAGTTAGCAAGTTGTATAGTCCTCGACCATAGCCTCCTCTGACTCCAGCTGAGGGGATAGAAAGCATATCTTCTGCGTTGCAAGGCATGGCATGAGTAAATAATACATGCAACGTTACCAGCAACCACTCAAACAAAAACCCACAAAATCAGTCTAATACAGTATTTCTGTTCTATATAGTTTACTCTAGCAAATATTGAAGCATAACAAATTGATCGTCCTCCTTGCTCTATTGACTGAAGCTTTAACTATACCAGAAACCTTATTGTACTTCATTGAAAACCCCTATATCAGAGTTAAATTACACTTTCAGTAATTTTCTCTTTACTAAAACCAAACTGACTTGTGTATTACTTATATCTCAAAGGATAATTGACTCTCGAATAATGTTGATAGCATTTATAGAAACATGCTGTTGTTTTTATTAAGGGTAATGGCGTCATGGGGTCCTTTCCAGGTGGACATAGAACTAGGTGCAAGGAGCACAGCGAATACATTGAATAATTTTAACTTAATCATTAAATAATCATTACCAGTGGGAATGCTTTAATCCTCCATCCTCTAGCTATCGTTTATATATTTTCCTTTTATCGAACTAAAAAAACTGTTTTTGCTCAATCCATCAGTTAGTGGGCGACATTTCGTTATGGTTATGGTATAATATAAACAGTCATCAAGATTATCTTTACACAATGATTGTAGTTTTACATTAAGCTACATTACATTGGCTGCTATTAGGCCTACCCGACCTTTGCAACGAAAAGCGAATATCTGCTGTATGAAATAGTTACACTTCCATTACGTTCATTTTAGAAACCAAACAAAAATGACCACTTAATTTAAAACGATTATTTGCTTTCAATTAAATTATAAGGGGTTTTCAATTGCTTAAGTAACCTATCCTAAATCTTCTAGGTACGATGTATTTAAGTAGTGCTGATGAGTGTTACTAAATACTTCAACTGTACTATTAAGTTTAAAAAGATAAACTTATTTTTAAAAGTAGGCTATACCAACTTACTTTCCGAACCCAACTATATTACCCAGCTATATTTAGAGTTAATAAATCCAAAAGAATCTAAGAACACGCCGTAGTGTAGCAATAAAAGTAATTACTTGATATTAATCATTGAGACAAAGATTGTTTACCAAAATGTTTTTATTTTAGTCAAGCCTCTTTGCCTGCAGCTCATTGAATGAATTTCACAGACAACTATAAGCACAACTTTACAAAACGTTTGCTATCTTGGATCAAATGTAACTGATTATTGTGTGACGTAGCTTGGGCGGTGCAGCAGCAGCTAGCCCGGTGACGTAGCTACTGGTGTGTACAGTACAGAGGCCGGGAACTCCGCCGTATATATACACCAAGCTGAGACTGAATCAGCATCAGTCAACTTCTGGCATCAGCTGCTCTACTGACTACTAGCATTGACTTTATATCTACACCTACTAGCTACTACCAGCAACGGTAAGTCAACTTTTATGTTGTTTTTATCTCGTACATTTCCAGATAAATAGTTCAAAAAGTACAGCCTGTTTCACTTCAATTTAGACGAACTATGAGACCTATCTCACTGTATTTAGGCTTGATTCTTGTTTTAATACACGGGAAACTGGCACTGTCTCAATTGGGATGAAGTATATGCAAATTAAATATATGTTCAAATTGATTTTTTTAAATTTATTTTTAAACAAATGATAATGAGAGTTTTATTTTTACATTTTGTTTAGAAGTAAAACGCTACACTGGAATATGATTTATTAGAGAGTTCTCATTCAAGAGATTGAAGTAGTTTCATACGTTGCCGGTATGAAGTTTGTTGATGTTTTTTTTTCATTGAAACTAGCTGTAACTCGATTGGCTAACGGTGATAAGAATACTAACATACCCATTGATTGTTGTTAACTAAGTTGGTGGAATAGTCTGTACCAGTCCCTCCTACGTCCACAAGACACAGATTTGCGTACTGACAAGAAACAAATATTTCTTTCAAACTTGAAAACATTAGTTGTAACTATAATTTGTTCATCTAACTGCATGAAGAGGAAAATGTTATACAGGTTTCCTAAAAGGAGTCCTTAGCCCTAGGTAAAGACATTTTTGACGGTACAATCAATTGTATGAAACTCTTAATACGATTACAAGAGTATTCACTACATTTCAAAAGATATGTTTTTAGCTTAGCCTATATTGTTAAAAATTATGTCATGTTTTTTTATTGTTTATAACAGTAGCATTAAACTTTTAACATACCACATTTTTACAATTGTTTGCTATCTGGATGAAATAAATTAGTTTAGTGTCTTGTGTACCGGTCTACAAGACGTCCAATTTTAATGAAATTTTGTGGGCACTAATCTATGGTATCCCCAGGAATTGATTTTTATTTCTGTGAAATATTAAATTTTATAGTGATTTTTCCATAAAAGACTATAAAATAACAGAAAAATAAACATCTTGAACAATTTTGATGAAAATTTAGTATGTTATACCTTTCGAATAAAAAAAACTGTAAAACCCCTACTGTACAAAATTACGGTCCAAAAGTTATTGAAACTTTTGTTATTTACCCATAAAATTTAGAAAAAAATTGTTGACCAATAATCATATAAGTTTAGTATTTTATGGTTATTTTAGGAATTTAAACAGAATGGAACAACCCCCATTACTGTCAAAATTAATCTTGAGGAGTTTTTCATTTTTGGTGATTTTACCCATACCATCCTTTCTCACACCGCTTGCCAAATAAGGGCTGTTTTTGACAAGCTAATAGGATAAATTATTTGTCAGATTGCGGATACGGTTTATTTTTGCTTGGTGTCCAGTATCGCAAAAATGTCACTACGTTTAGAAATTCTTACAGACACCAAACACTTTATGTTTGGTGGTTGGACTGGTTTATCTGTTGCGTAAACTTCGTAGTAATACATTTTGTATTGTGTTTGCAGGATTTGAACATGAAGTTGTTATTGAGTTTGATGGTGGTTGTTGTGGTTCTGTTGGCCACAACCTCGGCCCGTCCCCAACAACAACAGAACCCCGGTTCGGACGGCGGCTGGGTGGTCAAGACGGACCAGACCAAGAGTGGTGGAACCGTGGTGCGAGCTGAGGGCAACCAGCAATGGGACGTGACCAAGGACGGCAAGGTCAAGGCCGAGGTCCACGGACACTGGGAGAGGACCTACGGAGGTCCCAACAACGGCCAGAGGGACCGCGGGGTCGGTGGCTCCATCGGTGGCGCCTGGGGCTAGTCACTCACCACTCTACACTCTCCACCATAACTGCTTGACATTCAAGCACCGTGTACATTATATCAGCTTAGGACAAGGTTTTTACAATAAAAACTGAATACTGTTAAATTATTTGTAGTTATCTCCCTTCCCGCTATACAATTCATCACAAAGTATATAAAAGACGTCAAAGGGTTAGGTGTAGTAAGCTCATAATGAAATTGGTTGTCTTAAAGAAAAAGAGAGAGGCTGTATATTAATTGTTGGTAACCATGTTATTATTCAATTATGATGCTATAGTACTGTATTAACAGATTTTTTAGTATCATTGCTGCTTAGTTTGTA